TGTGTGTGTGTGTGTGTGCGTGCGTGCGAATCTGAAACTTTAAAAAGCAGGCAAAATCATGAAATATATTATTAAATATGCAAAGTTTTTATTTCTATTTTTGAATAATGTTTCGTACTTTGCTGCAACATTCAACAGTGCCTTTTGTCTTGCAACTTCCACGTTTGTGTTTTGCTTTGGCTCAACATAAACGCGTTTTTCCGGGTTCGCTGTGATCCCAGCTCGTGGAATATGGCAACTATTGTATTCGTCTGACTGAACGTTGACATGATCATCCGAAATTTTCTTTGATGTTGCCCTCCTACGCAGGTGGTTGGAAGGCGTAGCTGGAAAGCCTTAATTTTTTTCTTTCCTCTCTGTCGTGTCTGTCTGTCTGTCTGTCTGTCTGTCTGTCTGTCTGTCTGTCTGTCTGTCTGTCTGTCTGTCTGTCTGTCTGTCTGTCTGTCTATTATGCTTTCCCTGAGCTAAAAGAATGTTATTGTGACGATGTTCTTTTCTTTACTCAAACAAAAGAATAAATCTCCTACGCATTTTAAAAACTGGAATCTCATGCGTGACTAGCAAATGACAAACAATAAAATTTCCTTTGTTAAAACTGTCAAAATTAAAGTGAGTACCGTATCCCATGAGCTGGCCAAAAAAGTTCTTGTGGTATCATGATGAAATTGGGCTCTCGTCAAAATCGTGAAAGCGAAGAAACCGGAATTTTTCGCCCGTTGGACAATTTTATCGAATTTTTATTTCGGGCTCAACTTCTTTTATGACCATTTTAAAAACCCTTCATTTCCGTGTGGATTTAAATGAAAATTCTTTCTTTTTTTTAAAAGTTAATCAAAGGCACAATAAATATCAATTTGCAGTCTTCTTCTTTGTGTTTCCATGCTAGACCCCAGGGGTAGTCGACCGCTGCTCTTCAACGTATGTGACAGTTTTCCCTACTTTGTATTGCCCGTGCCTCCATACAGCTTCATTCCGATTTCGAAGGTACTCTGAGCAGTTGTATTATGCGTTTATACTGACTAGAGTATTTTCAGCTTTGGAAGGAATTAATTTTGATTTTTTTCGCTTGTGGCGGCTAAAGCTTACTACTCTTATCGATTTTAGGACCACTTTAACGACCGCAACTTGCACACGGGACTTTCAAGATTTGTTGGCCCTTATTCGAGAAGGCTAGGTGTTCGATTTTACTACCCTAAGATCAGGCGTGTGTGAAAGACAGCAATAAGAAGTAGCCAGGAGGATTAGTAAAAAGAGTAAGGAATAAAGAAAAGAGGAGCCAAGAAGATGCCAAGTTACGGAGGGGGAGAGGGGTGCGGGAGAGAGAGGGGAGGGGGGAGAG